TGGCCTCAACAGAAACCACACTGGAGGGAGGTCTTGATGCCCTAGATCAGGCAGGCAGAGATTTTCGGTCCCTGGCTAGGTAGGGTCAACGTCCCACCTCAGCCTGAAGCAGCTACAGAAGACCGATTTCCAGTCCCTCAACAACCCATATGATTATGGGTCCGAAAAATCTCTCAGGTGGGGATTTATGAGTCAGGATATGTAACCTAGGGTATCAACCCCCCTCCAAGATACCTAATGAGGCACCTCCCTTCAAGAAACTAAAACAAGGAAACACAACTGACACCTGTGGCTAGATATTAATAAGAACTAGTTTCTTCTCGCAGGGCCAGTGTCCATGACCTGGGCCTGACCTTTAGCTAATTTTAATGGCATTATCATCTCATTTACACTGTGGTTACCTGGACTCCCATCATGTACTTGATGTCATGACAGTTCCGGAGGAGCCAAATAAGGACAAAAAGGAGGAAAATGGAGATCCCACCCCTAGGGAGGAGGAGACAAGGTGATGTCCCTAAATTCTTGTCCCTAAGAGATAAAAACCCTAATCAGGACCTTCTCCACGCGACTGGATCTCTAAGTTCACCCACACTTCCTACTCCAGGGTGTTCTTTTCTTTAATAAACTCCCTGCATTTGTCTCGCTCTTGAATTCTTTCTCACATGAAGACAAGAACCTGGTTCTGCTCTGGGTTGAGTCCACGTTGGGACATCCCTGGGAGCCTCTGGCATTAATTTTACAAGTGAGAAACCTGAGGCCTAGAGAGGTGACACAGTGAGTTTCTGGCAAAGCCTGGACTAGAATCAGGAAGTCCTGACTCCTGGTTCAGTGCTCTCTCTCCACCCCTATCCCTAGTCACACCTGGCGTCTCTTTATACCTGCCTACCCCACCGTCTCCTGTAGACCAGACAACTGTAATATGAATGAGGCACCGGGAAGGGGCAGTGCCTGGGATTAAGTGTCAGTGCCTTCACCTTGGCACAGCTAAGGCTGCTAGGTCAGTGACACTGTCAGTGGGCTGCAGTCACATATTTTGCTGACACACCTGAGGCCCGGAGCCCGAACCTGTTGGTAAACAAGACGCATGCTCCCTCTACCGGTCAGTTGGAGCTGAGATCCTGGCCGTGTGGAGCGGAGTCCCAGGACACGCTTTCTTTCCCTTTCTCCCCTCATCAGCCCTGCAGGGTTATCCACAGTGGTGCCCTGGGGACCATGATAGACACCACATTTTTCATGACAGCGTACTGTGGTGCCAAAGTGGTCTGTACAGGGATCATGACCATCACCTTCAAGAGGTCTATTTCCTCATCTGGGTTCAAGTTAGGAGTAAGGTCATGTGAGGTTATTGTTACCAAACCCAAGGGGTTCACTTGCTTGCACACATCAAAGCCCAATGAGACACAAACAGTTTTCAGCAGAGAGAGTAGAAGTTTAAGGAAATGATTCTAAGCCCGGAGACACAGGGGATCCAGTGCTCTCAAGGCCTGGCACCCAGATCCAAGATGGCGGGGCAGATAAACACTGTGCCTGTGTCCTTCCATGAACACATAAAAATTACAACTAAATTATAAAACAGTCAACCTGCAGAACCACCTGAAATATAGCCAAACAGAAGTCCTATAATTAAAAATTTAAAGAAGAAACCACATCAAAACTGGTAGGAGGGGCAGAAACATGGAATGGGCCCCAAACCTGCATGTGGCAGTTGAGAATCAGGAGGGATATCTCAGCCGCATTGGTTCCCCCCACAGGAGTGAGGTACCCCAGCCCCACACCAGGCTCCTCAGCCCGGAGTACTGGTGCTGAAAAGAGGAGCCCTTCACAACATCTGCTGTGAAAAACAGTGCAAATTCCAACTGTTTGGGTGGGATGGAGGAATGTGGGAAACCCAGACATCCTCTTAAACGGCCCGTGCACAGGCTCACTTGTTTGTATGCACTCACCTTGGGCTCCAGCAGAGGGACAGTAACTCAGGGAGCCTCGGAGAGATACTGGAGTGAGACTGGAGTGTGTGGCTGCAGGGAGAGGACTGGAGGACAGTCAGTATATTCCCTGTGAGGAGTCCTTCTCCTGTGCAGCTGGAAGGTGGGCGCCATCTTTCCTGTGTTGCTCCCGACCCCCTCACAGGCCAAATCTGACTCTGACTGGCCTGGTGAGCTCTGCTGTTTCGCCATGCTGACTCAGCTGGGACCCTGCCTCACCCAACTCACACAACTCACTCAGCACTTTCTCCCAAAGCAGCTAGCCCTGCCCACATTGCACTTTTTCTTGGAAAACTATTGGGAGTCCAGCAGGACCCAGGTGGGTGGCAACTGGCCTCAGTGTGCTCTGAGACTTTTGCTGAATATTTATAGGCTCAGCACTGGCAGCAAACCATAATTTACATTAACCTAGTGACCACAATTCTTCCCACTCTAGTGATTCTGATACCCTGTTCATCCAATTTGTGAATGGCATGAGACTTTATCATGGCTGAACCTTAAGGTAGCTGGCAGATGGCAGTAGGCCTCCAGATGTCCTGGCTTTTTGAGGAGTTACCCCCAGCATGGTGCTGGAGGCAGACGTCCACATGCCTCCAGGTCTAGCACAGGCAGTGAACAACTGAGGATCACTCTGTAGCTCCTACCAGGTAGCCCCCAGACAGTCACAGTCAGTGGCTGATCTGGGCCTGCACCAGAGCTCCTCCCAAGAGGCCCCAGAACCAACACACTTGGAGGTTGGTTTAGACCACAGCAGAGCACTGCCCAATTAGTCCCACAAGCACCACACACAAAGAGCAGCCTCAGCAGACACAGAGCCTGTGGGGATGAATCTCACTCAGTAGGGTAAGCCTCACGCACAGCAGCTCATAAGTTGTGGACGTGGCCAAACCCCACAGTCAGTTAGCCTAAGGGTCAATCCCACCCGCTGATGTGCCAATAGCAATCAAGGGTCAACCAAAACAGGAGAATACACACAAGGGTCACTCCGGGAGCACCCGGCTCAGGTGACCAGGGAGACTGTGCCACTGGGCCCCATAGGACATCTATTACATAAGGCCACCCAGCCAAGACTGGGAGACATAGCAGATCTACCTAATACATAGGAACAAACACAGAGAGGCAGCCAAAATGAGGAAGCAAAGAAATGCATTCCAAATGAAAGAACAGGAGAAAAATCCCGAAAAATAACTAACTGGAGACAAGCAACCTACCAGAGACAGAGTTCAAAACAATAGTTATAAGAATGCTCAAGGAACTTAGTGAGAACTTCAGCCAAGAGATAGAAACCATAAAAAAGGACCAATCAGAAGTAAAGAATAGAATAATTAAAATAAAGAATGCACTTGAAGAAATCACTAGGAGACTCAATGAAGCAGAGGATCGAATCAGCAATTTGGAAAACAAGGTAGCAGAAAACACCCAATCAGAACAACAAAAAGAAAAAAAAATCCAGAGAAATGAGGATAGTTTAAGAAGCCTCTGAGACAACATCCAGCATAACAACATTTGCATCATAGGGGTAACAGAAGGAGAAGTGAGAAAGCAAGGGGTTGAAAACTTATTTGAAGAAATAATGACTGAAAACTTTCCTAACCTGTTGAAGGAAATAGATATACAAGTTCAGAAAGTGCCGGGAGTCCCAAACAGGATGATCTGAAACAGGCCCACACCAAGACACATTATAATTAAAATACAAAGGTTAAAGACAAAGAGAGAATCCTAAAAGCAGCAAGAGAAAGGCAAATAGTAACTTATAAGGGAGCTCCCATAAAACTGTCAGCTGATTTGTCAACAGAAACTTTGCAGCCGGTTGGGATTGACACAAAATGTTCAATGTGATGAAAAGCAAGGGCCTACAACCGAGACTACTCTACCTAGCAAGGGTATTATTTAGAATCGAAGGACAAATAAAGAGCTTCCCAGACCAGAAAAAGCTAAAGGAGTTCATTACCACCTAACCAGTATTACAAGTAGTGTTAGAGGGACTTCTTTAAGACAAAAAAAAAAAATCAAAATTATGAATAACAAAATGGCAATAGCTACATATCAACAATGTTAAGTGTTCTAATAGTCATATTAAAAAAGTAAAAAGAATGAGGTAAAATTAATTTAATATATGTTACCTAACTACCAAATCCAAAATATCATTTCAACATATATAATATAAAAATTATTAGACATACTTTGCCTTACTAATACAAGCCTTAGAATTCCGGTGTGTGGATAACTAATGTCGACGAAAAAAACATCCAGCCTAAGAGAAAGCTTGAGTTTATTTGAGCCAAACTGGCGACAATTGCCGGGAAGCAAAATCTCAATGGATTGAGAAAATGCTCCAGAAAATGGTGGTTTTGCAACTTATTTTATACATTAGCATCAAAGGAGGAAATCCACTGGTGGTACATTGAAGGGGTGAAAAAAAGCAAAGGGTTTGTGTGTGTGGGGGGGGACTCTCTGGAACTGGATAAAAATGGTGGGTACAGGAGTTAATAGTTAGCATTTTACAGCACATAGAGATGGTAATCAGAGGACAACAATAACAATGAGGGATTCTGTGATCTTTTGCTCTGGTGTGGCTGGTTGTGCCCCCTAGGGGTCAGGAAAGAGGGGATTACTCTGACATTCCAATGGTGTAGTAGACCCAAAAAGAAAATAGACAGGCTCACTTAAGGTAAAGGTTAACCTTTGTCAAGGAAGCTACAGGCCAAGGATGTGACAACTGGCTACTGCCACGAAACGATTTTTAGTTAGCAATTTTTATGTTCAGACCCTCCTATGTGGTTACTTTCGGTGTCTGAGTTTGTAGGGCTTGCCATGCAGGCCTCCCCTGAGCTTGTCAGGTTTAGTGCGTGGCCCCTTTTTCCCACCACTTTAATTTACAGCACATGTCAATTCCAATGCTAACTTTTCAGCGTTTGAAGGGAAACGAAGATCCGCCAAACAATAAAGTTGTCTTTAACAGAAAAATATTCCACACAGCTTTAGTTTATAAATATAAACTAATTAAATCAAATTTAAAATTCAGTTCTTCAGTCATAATACCCACATTTCAAGTGCTTAATAGCCACAAAGCTGGTAGCTGCTGGCTACCGATCTCGTACGTTCAGACGTTGCCCCCCAAAACAAAATTTCCAGCAGAAGTGCCAATTAAGCTCCGGGTTCGGGAAACTGCGGATCCTGCAGTTCCAGTTATCCTCACAAGATGGCACTAAAGAGCATAATCGCAACAGCGCCAGGCGAGCTTCCGACCCCGGAAGCTAAATCCCATGGTTCTATGTATTTCCTCCTGCTTTTCTCCACCCCCGGAGACTCAGCCTAATCACCTCAGGCCCTGAGGTCTGCATGCCCGCAAGATGTGTCGGAGAGCAGAGCCGCGGTGTCTATAGAGCAAGTGAAGAGCCGCAAGTACGCAGTTCGGCACCCTGGAGCCACGTGCGGGTAGTGGACGCGGTGCCCCCGGACTCACAGGTCCCGATCCCCGACGAGCACAAACGGTAGACAGCGTGGACTCAGAACGCGTCGCCTGGCTACCGCCGTCGCGTTGTCTTCTCCAAGGTCGCCAGGGCCGGACCTGAGCCCCCAGTGCACTCGCAGTACTCCTCCAATGATTCAGAAGTCACTCCCGGCGCTGCTGGAACCTCAAGATGTCGGAGACAGGGTGGGAACGCTTATGGTAAACTGCGAGGAAGCGGGGAGGCAGGGCTTCCAGGACCGGGGAGGTTGCAAGTGGTCAGCGGCCCTGGGGGATCCTTTTCCGCGCTCCGGATGCGCGCAGTTGGGGACTTGGCGGGAGAGATGGCGGGGAAGGAGGGAGGAGAGGACTGCAGCCCATCGCTTGGGAGAGGAGAGCAAAGGTCGTGCTGCTGCAGCGGTATCCGAGCAGAGACGGGAGGAATGGCCGGGGCCTTGGAGGGTTTTGGGGGAATGTGCCTGAGAGGCTCCGAACGAGGTGCGAACGCTACGGGACATTGTTTGAAGTTGGTTGCCTGGAGTGACAGAGGTGGGAGAACACCCGGGCATATATTTGGACCATCTCAAGGTCCAGTAATAGCGCCAAGCCGGAGAATCTGGGGTCGCTGTGGGCGGGGAGAGGGGGGCACCTTTGGAGCCCCTCGCCGGCCGGGATAATGTGCGTTTCGTGGCGTTGCGAGGCCACGCCCCCAGGCGTCTGGATTGGCTGCCGTGGTCGGGCCGCCGGGCCGCCATTGGTGGAGGCGGGGGCGGGGTATGCAGGTACTTCCCTCGAGGACGCTGGGGCTAAATTGCTGCTGGTGCGGCCTGGCCTTGGGCTGGGTGGTCCTTGGTCCTGCAGCAGCATTTCTATCGACGTGCGGAGCCACTTTCGCCCGGGTTGGGGTGCGGATTTTTTTTTTTTAATCCCTAAAAAAATTCGGCTGCAGCTATATGTTTACATATTTGAAAACGCGCTTACGGATTTCTCTTTCTGGGCCCTCCAGCCCTGGCCTCGGTATCTGAATTGGATTTACAATTTATTTTTTTAAAGGGATGTAGGAATTGCTTGGGGAATCAGTTTGCTAACAGCGTTATTTATTACCTTTGTGTACCTGTGTAGTATTGTTTGGTTGTTTTTGCTCTACCCACCCCTCAAAAAAACAAAAAACAAAAACACAAAACCTGGGTTACTCATTTTATTTAACTTGAATAACTTTGGACTATTTAGAAAAACTCAAATATGCCCTTAAAGGATGTGCCATTCACCACTGACAATAGTTTAAGACTATTCAAAATGAAAAGTGTAATTTTTTTTTTAAACAGAGGTTAATCTATACTGCTAGTTGTGGATAAAAAAGGGGTTCTCTGGAAAGTAACCTCACAGGGTGATCTGATCATAAATTCCTAACTGGGCAGGTGATGGTAGATAGGCATGCCCCAGGCATGTAAACTTTTTTAGTAGGTTTATCTTTGCCTTAAGCGAGCCCTGTTCATTGTATCTGTGCATGCAGGTTAGCACACCTTTGAAACAGCCATTTTCGAGAGAGCACATAATCTTAACTATCCTGTAATCCAATTCCAGCCCTGCTTTCTCCTACTTTCCTGTCATCTTTACTTCCCTCAATTCCAAATGCATAAAAGTAATTGCAAAGCTGTCATTCTCTGGTGCATTTGAGATCTTGCTTCCCGCCATTGTCTGTCAGTTTGGCTCAAATGCTTATAAAAATTCTCTAGGGCTGGCTGAGTGGCTCAGCTGGTTAAGAGCTCACTCAAGAATGCAAGCTCTGAGCAACAGGTTTGCCGGTTTGATTCCCGGCCCAAGCTGAGCTGCTGCTGAGCTGCCAACAGGTGGCAGGATGGCTCAACTAAAAAAAAAAATTCTCTATAGGTTTGGACATTCTTACATGGACATAGTATATATTTAATCTGCTGTGTGCTAATGGACCTGGAAAATTATAAAGTTAAAAAAGTTGCAGGCTCTATTCCGCAAATACTTATTGAGCCAACACTGTGTCCAGGCACTGTGCTGTGAAAATAGACATAAAAAAGATAGTTCCTGCATGGGGGAGGGTGTGTGTGTGTGTGTGTGTGTGTGAGAGAGAGAGAGAGAGAGAGAGAGAGAGAGAGAGAGAGAGAGGGAGAGAGAGGGAGAAGAGAGAGAGAGAGAGAGGACGGCCTTAAAACAATTTCTGCAACATGCCTGAAAGCACTGGGGAAGCAGCGCCTAGGAGAGCTGCTCAGAAGCTGTAACTACAGGTCGTTCCTGCAGGCTTGCTGGAGCAAAGGGCTAGAGGGAGCCAGGGGATGTTACCCTGTATGGGAATGGGACGTGCAGGACCCACTGAGGCTTTATCCTGTGGGATTATGCTCAAGGGAAAGCCATGTGCAGGTTTCCTGTTAGCTGATTCATTCATTCTTGACAATTGAGCCCCTACTGTGCACCAGGCTCCCTGGTCAGTACTGGAGGTTCCACCGTGAACTGCAAACCAGGAGCTAATGGCCTCTCCTGTTCTGGACCCTCAGGCGTAAGGCAGATGAGCTCAGGTGTGGTGGAAGCACCCAGAGGGGGCTTTCCCAGAGCAGGTAAGGTCTAAGCAGAGGCCCTTGGGGATTACTTAGATATGGGAGGAGCTAGGGCAGAGTTTTCAGAGGTGAGAGGAAGGCAGAGAGTCCATTCTATCTGCAGAGTGTGTAAGAGGGAGGAGGCTGAGAGCACAGACCAGAAAGACTGGACCGAGGTGATTCATGAAAAGCCCTGCAAGCCAGCAGTTTGGACTTGATCCTGATTGGAATGTGAAACAATGAAAGGATATCGTTTTAAAATTTTAATTCAGGTCTCTCACTGAAGGTTGTTTGCAACTGGAAGCTGTGTGGTCGGTCAGATTTTAAAAGATGACCCTGGCTGCAGGGTAGAGAATGGATTAGAGGGATCAAAGAGATGAGTGAAGAGGTGGCGGCAGTCACCAAGGATGATGGGGCTCTGAGCCAGGATGACAGAGGTGACTGTGAGAACTTGCAGGAGGTAGAATGAGCAGGTGCATTAGGGAACGAGTGAAGGCTGCTGCCCCGGTTTCTGGCCAGGGCCGCTGGGTAGATGAATGACAGGGCATTCCCTGGGATGGGACACCCTGGAGGGGAGCAGATTGGGGGTGAGAGAGAGATGAGTCCAGGTTTGGAAATGTCTGAGGTGCCTTTGGAACATCTGAGTAAGTGGATATGTGGGTCTCAAGCTCTGGAGAGAGGTTGCAAATTAGGATAGAAGGTGGAGATTGAAGCCATAGGAGTGGGTGAAGGGGCGTGGGAGCATTATTCAGGGAGAGAAGAGGGGTGTTTCCACTTAGAGGAGAGGCCAGGGAAGTGGGAGGGAATCCTCGAAGCCAGGAGAAGCCAGCATCTCAAGAAGGAGCCAGGAGCGTCAACAGTGGATCGCTGCAGAGCGGCTGCGAAGTGCCCTGGGTTTCCACTTCAGACTGGGGGTATGGTGAAAAAAGAGCGTGAAGTTTGAGCCCTGGCCAATGGCTTCAAACCCTGTGACTGATGACACATTTGTAACCTCTGTGAGCTCTACTCATCTGTAAAATGGGTTTAAATACCTAGCATTTAAGAGAGTTATGAGATTTTGAGGTCGTGTATATAGGTGCCTCACCCAGTGCTGCCAAAGAGGCCACTAGGATGGATTGGTGGGGATCAGGCTCTGGGAAGATGAGGGTCATCAGCAGGACTTGGTCATGAAACACTCAGTAGACTAAAGTCTTATACGTCTCCCGTATTTCACATTGGAGTATCTCAGTGTGGATTGGAGGAGAGTCAAGTGTGTGAGGTACTGTTGACTGTGTTTCCACTTTGCAATGCTGAGTTTGAGATGCCTGCGTGCCAGTGGGAGGTGGAGGGGGCGTGGGAATAGCCTGGAGAGAGGCTGCGAGGGCTGGCGAAGTGGGCGTTGTCAGCATGTGGGTGTGGGTGTGGCAGGGTGTGGTTGCCCTGAGAGGCTGCAGCCTGAGGAGATAAAGAAACAGCAGCATCTGCAGGCAGGCAGAGGAAAAGGAGACCTGGAAGGGCAGCCGGAAGAGAAGAGAGAACCCCAGCACTGAGAGACGAGGTGGTCAGCTGTTTCAAATGCACCAGAGAGGCCAAGTAAGAGAAGCATAAGGAGACAGAACGTTTTGATGGTTGCTAAATGGTAGGGGGGTTGGGAGGATGGGCGAGAAAGGTGAGAGGATTAGGAAGTACAAATTAGTCACAAAATAGTCACGGGGACGTGAAATACAGTGTGGGGAATATAACCAATATTGTAAAAGCTATGAATAGTGGCAAATGGGTACTGGACTTATCGGGGGATCACTTCATAGATTATATAAATGTCTAACCGCTGCACTATACACCTGAAACTAATATAAAATAATAATGAATGTCAACTATAATTTTTATATATATATATATATATATATATATATATATATATATATATATATATATAGTCGTGGGATGTAAAGTACAGCATAGGGAATATAGTCAATGATACTTTAATATTGTCAGAAGGGTAGTAGAGTTGTTGGGGTTATCACTTTGAGGGGTGTACATGTCTAATCACTATGTTCTTTTGTACACCTGAAACTAATAATAAAAAGAGAGAGAGGGCCAGCTGAGTGGCGTGTTGGTTAGGAGTTGGCTTGGGAGCGTGAACTCTGAGCAGCAGAGGACGGGTTCAGATCCCACATGGGGGCCAGTGACGCTGCGCCCTCCATAGCTAAGATGGTGAACAACAGCTCGACTTGGAGCTGGGCTGCGGTGAGTCACTGTGAGCGGCTGTCCAATGGCCGGCGAGTGATTGCCTCACCTGGGAAGAGCGCAGTGATAATGCCAACATGGGCCAGTGAAGCGACATCCTCCACAACTAGACTGAAGAACAAAAGGACAGCAACTTATCTGTTTCCCTCCCCCGATTCCCCAATAAAATCTTTAAAAGAGAGAGAGAGAGAGAGAGAGAGAGAGAGAGAGAGAGAGAGAAGAAGAAGAAGAAGAAGAAGAAGAAGAAGAAGAAGAAGAAGAAGAAGAAGAGGAAGAGGAGGAGGAGGAGGAGGAGGAGGAGGAGGAGGAAGAGGA